AACCAGCTTTCATGGAAATAGAGGTGACTGAATGTTTACCCAAGTCATCAACATCACCTAAAATTACGCCACAAAATGATTCATGCTTTCAAGATTCAAAATCTGATGATATTCCGTCTAACAAAACAGAAAGAATCACAAGATCAGGCAGACGAGTACATTGGCCACAAAGATTTGTACAGACAATTTATTTCTAATTCATTTCCATACTACCTTATTACGGTACTATTAACTGTATGTTAAGATATAAATCTATTCTGTAACTCTTTACAATAACAACCCCATTATTATTCTAATAATTTTTCTGGTTTTATTGTTACATTTTGCACAACTTTCTAAATATTTCGGTTCGTTTCGAAGTTGTTAACACTTTTGCATATATACAGTTATATTATCAAACCTCAAAAACTTAAAATCCTCAATTCGGTTTTCATACCACAAACTCGTATATATTTCTTCTGTAATTGTAATTTACAATATCATTCCGAATACAGGTAAACTTCATTTACCTGCATTCTACGGAGGGGCTATTGTAGTGACCCGTTTTATTACTCATAATCGTACTATACTTTCATTGTGTAATTGTACTTTCATTTGTTTATTACTCTAAATCATGCATGTTAACAATTGATACTTTTTGTACTCGCTCGATTTTTGAATTTTGATTGCTGCAATAATACACTGTCGTATTCCTTCGCAAGTGCCTTTTTAATTACGTTGTGGATGTCGAGTAATCACAACGTTAGGACACAAATATAAACGCGAAGAAGTACTAAGATATACGTGCATTCTAGTTCAGTCAAAATAGAGCAGCAATAAGTCTTCCAAAAAAACCGTCGGTTGAATTATTATAGTTTCCAGCAAGAGGAGAGACGACTACTTACCAGAAAATGTGGATAATAAAAACATTAAAATAAATGACATCAACCATAAATCTATCTCTAATCGTAACCATAAACTTAACCCTGACCCGAAACCTTACTCCAATACTTAACTTGACCCTAATCTTAATCCTAACGAGCTATTAACACATTGTACAAACAGAACTTAAAAACGTGATCTGAGTGAAATTTGCCCATATGTTGGTGAATAGCGTTCATCTTTCAGCTATGATAATGACAGATGCCGTTAGCAAACGACTAGCATGCATTCAAGGTCATTGGAGCGTTCACACTCCTCGGACGCGATTGTTGAACTTCGCCCTATTTTTTTCAGTTTAAGTTATTTTTCGCCAAGTCTAAGTTACTCCAAACTTCTGCGTCGGTGGCATACTGGTTAGGACTCTCACCGACCATGCACATGGTCCGGGGTTCGATCCCCTGCCGGCGCACACCCGATATCTATGGTCGGCCTGAATTTGGGCTACCGATATCCATGCTGAAAATTCCATTCTTGTACTGAAAATACGGTGTGGAATCAAGCTGTAAATCAAAAAATAAATAAATAAACATTTTATTCAAATTATGCGCTGTTTCCATAGTCGCATCTAACTAGTCGAAGTTATCGCTGTCAAGGTCATTATCCGTTTGCTAGGTAGTTCCGGTTTGGGCTGCTATAGTTACAGTCATTTAAATATGCTCCATTTTCACTCTTATAACGCCTCTATAGACATGAACGCGATGACCCATACAGTGCGTGAAAACACATTGCGATAGCCTTTATCCTACCCCAAACCATAACGATGTGTATTTAAAAAGGAATCGGTTTCCTCACTTCCGTAAAACAATAGCTTTCAGTGTGTAAATTAGATAGCTTTCAGGATTCTTTTTAACCATATATTCCCAGTTTTCAGACATAAACGAATAGATGGCTAAAACTTTGAAGGTGTTTTCTACTTCGAAATAAACTTATTGATTATTTGCAAAGTAAACTTCCAACTTATGATGGTTCAGCCTTTCTTTCTGCATCCATTCTCAATGGAAGTTCTATTTGTTAGCCAGTTGCCATTTACAGCACTATTCCTCTGGCGAATCACACTTCATATCACAACCCAGTCTGATACTAATTTTCTTGCCTTAGTGCAATCCGTTTTTCTTTCCCTGTTTCTTCTAACAATTTAACACCACCTTGTTGATGTCTTGCATAATCGTAAAATTATTTGAGGCGTGGTAAAAAAACAAACTGGTTCATACGGGTGACTTTTCAAGCCCGGAACAGAATTAATACTCGGTTTCCCGGAATATGAAATGCATTTTTGTATTATTACGGTTTGGCAGTGACGAGTTGTCACTGCAGAAAATTGAATGTGGCTTGAAAGTAATTCAAATGGAGAGGGCGCTTGACTGCGTACCTTCATCATAAATGGCCAGCCTTAACAGTTAAGATCAACTATAGGTGGTGAATGGGGAAAGGCATTAGCTGATAACTTTAGGGAACTGTTTACCGCTATGTATCTGAATGTTAGACAAAAGCCCGTACAGTCGTGGTCATTTATTACTAAAAATCATCTGATTGCCAGAAACATTCCCGCCCTCCTTGTCCATACTGTATCTCGCTACCCTGTCATGTATACGGTTTCATTTTAGAGATCACTTTGTAATAGCTTTGATTTGCGATCCACCAATTTTTCTATAAATCCTTTACAGTCGCTATACTTGGACACAAAAAGGGACACTTAACACTGCTTTGTCTTCCAATGTAATACCCACCTATTTAACTACTTTCACTCTTCATAATCTTGGCTATCCTAGCCTAGCTTCAGATATGCCTCATACCTGACTCTGTTTAACCCACTAGTTCTCAACTGAATAAAGTTCCCACTCATATCTCGCCACTAACATTCTAGTCTGGCTGTCTAATGATAATATCAATGGAACCCGATAACATTACCCAATGAGAAGTTATCTGAACACCAAACAACTCTCGATGTTACTACCAATAGCTTTATTTCATAAAAAAAATACTCTGTGAAATCTCAGATCCGACCCCACCAAAAATTTTTAACATAACTTTCAGTTAATTATTGATCCTGTCTCATACGAGAACTTAAAATACTGACATACCTGCGACAACTGGATTATGTTGTCTGTGTAGGTTACAAAAAGATAGGTCAAGTGATTAGTATTTTTAAATGTGCAGGATCATCAGCACACAATATACTGCCTATCTAAACAAAATTTCTAGACCTTTCAGACGTTGGGGAAACAGCCTACCGTTAGTTATCTACCTTTCCATTAATGAGACCCCTTCCGTACAAGCTAAAACTCCATGCACAAAGTGACACTATAATCACGCGATAAATTCGTTTCTTCTAACAGTTTTCCTAGAGAAATCGATCACGCATTGTGTCCAAAAAGGCTCATGAATGTTTACTCAAGCCCACCCTCCTTCGATTACTGTTTGTACGCATTTATAACCAAGGCTAAAAACCGTTTTTACGCGTATGCACCAATTTTTAGGGCCAGTGGTATCTCCATAAGATGGACCATCCGGAAAACCAAACGGACGGAAATACTTCACGCTTCAGATTAAAACAGACATGACGGCTGCATTAATGACTCCCCTTTAAAATTGGAATGTACGCAGGGTAAGCCTACGAGTAATGACTTGTCCTCCAAATAACATTCAAATGAAAGAATGCTTCTCAGTACTTGGAGAGATGGACAATACTTTGCAGTGAATGGGAGATCTGAGTGAGGCAGGGAGAAACGAGTTCCGGGAGAACCTTAAAGTTTCCAGAGCATCTTCACTCAGATAATTCAAGGTGCAGGAAAAATAGCTTTTTTGCCAAAAACCTACTTTGGATACATTAGTTTTTCCACTAAACACAGGAATTTCCTAGTATCCCGTTCAAAAAACTTGAAGTACTCTTCCAGTGTTCTCCATTCAAGGAGTGTGCAAGTCTGTGCAAATAAACCAAGCTTCCCAGTCAATTTTTTTCAAAAAGTCCACCGCTTTTCTATCTTCTCTGACGGATGCAATGAAGCACGAGTACCGGAAGACTGATATGGTGAATTCATGCGTGGTGAAGCTATTGGCAAAAACAGACCATCAAAAGACCACTCACTACCAGAAAAATTGCAGTGAGAGTTCTGCCATTTAGCACTTGTTTCCAATTAGTATCATTGAACAGGCTACCTCAAACCAGCTATGAAGTCATAGAACCAAATATATGAAAATATGTACATAACTCGATGAAATAATTAGCCCATAGATCCTTTATATTTCAGAAGTGGCTGCTGATCCTCACTAATGAAGTCAATTCATTCAGCTGAGATTGGGCAGTCAATACTATTAGATGTATGAATGTCGTGAAGAATATTGCTTTGTGTGTACACTGCACTCGCAAACGATGCCTGAAGTATGGTACGCAATGTAGAAAGTCATTCATGCCACACAGAGACTGTCCTTTCCACACAAGAAGTAACATTTTTGCCATTTACTTAGCACGACTGAGTAGATTCAAATCGGCATATAGATAAACAACAGGTGACAAAAGACTCCTTTTATAGCAGTCACTGCACGACCGAACTGGGAATTCCGCTGAGGCTGATGGTAAAACTAGAAATCGGAAGAAAAAATGCTTTCAGATCAACTGGTGATAATGAACTGAATTTTTTGTGTCTGACCAGGTCACAATGATTCAGAGATAGTTGAGGTTACTCATGAATTTCTCGATGTGGCTTTGGGTTAAATGCGATTTGGTTTGGGATACGCGGGAATTAAAGAGACGTTGCGAAGGATTATTTGATATTATCGGTGATACCCATGCTATTTGGTACGCTGTTATATACGCGTATAGGCGAAGTTCACCCTGACAACAAATGACCTCTGCAGCTACTTTTAACTCATACGGTTTTCATCAGCTTTCATGTGCCTCAAGTGAGTTCTTTACTTTATGTTCGGTAAAGAAAACAATTAGCCTCATATGTATGGAACTGTAATATACGTTTTACTCTGAACCAGAACTTCTGGTAGTTTTCATCGCTTTTTGTTTATTCGTTTGAATATTTAGGTCACTCATACAAAACATAAAGAGAAGGTTTTTAAAATCTCGGAAAATGATGGTTGGTTTTATATGTTCGAAGTATTCTAATGCTACATATGCCGTCTACACAACTGTCCGAGCCTATCAAAAAATGACATGCAACACAATTAATCCTAACGTTGTTAATCTACAATATGCTGTACGTGGGCCGATAGTACAAAGGGCTTCTGAAATAGAAAAAGAGATTGCCGAGGTGATTTTCTGAAATACTTTATTCTAACCACGCAGGATTCTCACAAAAAGTTTAGCAAAATTATACGGTGTAACATCGGAGACTGTCATGCTTCTGGTCAAAAACCCATAAAGTTCATTCGTGATGTATTAGCTGCTGCTACAAACAACGTTGTTATGGAGAGCAATTTAGTGCCGGATGATGCTAAACTGAGAGCCAAACGGTTTTTGGAAAGTTGTGGTGGAAGTGTAGGTGAGCTTGTGATTTAGTGTAGATATATTCGCCTAACATAGAAATAATGATCATTTTTGAATTTATTAGTGTTACTGTTTTCACTAAATGCACTCGTATCATTGCTAGGTTGAACTTTCCACATCTAGACACTTCTAGAAAAAAAATTTATTCCAAGGTTTTTGATAGTAATTGATGACTATAACCCTCACCAGTTTAACAATTTATTTTTTTAAATAGCCAATCATTTTGCTTTGTCATCTGTGGTTGATAGTTTGATTTATTTGTGACAAAGCTATCGCTTCTGATTGAACAAATTTGCTTGGAAATGTTATAACTGCAGGTGTGTGTGGTTTCGTTCAAGGTGACTGTATGATCGTTTTATTCTAACCACTTGTTATTATTAAGATGTTCATTATCTTTCCTCAAAGTATTGTAAACTTTTGCTGATTTAACCTTATGGATACTTGCAGTGTTTCTAACTGGTTCGTTCCATTGCGGTGACTGCCATTTCTTCCTAGAACTTCAAACAGACTATCTCAAGCCGGTCTCAGGGGTTGCTTAAATCTGTCGCTTCTGACAATGATATAAATACAGTTTGTCGACTGAAATGGTATGTGCAACTGTCATTTTTGCTGTTGTGGAAGCTACGCTCTTCAATAACTGTATATGGTTAATCATTTCATGTGAAAACTATTTATCTAAGGTGAAAAACACTTGTAGTAGTCGTAACAGTGTTCTGTAGGATACACTGGGGGCGCAATATCTAATGTCTTCCTTTAAATTAGCTCTCCTATGTCCGACTGTACTAATAGGCAAGTCAATGACAAGCATCTATCAGTTGGTTTAACATGAAGCTAAGGGGTGAGTTACCTGCACAGTAATCCGACCACGCTGTTATAAATAGGATGATAAGATGTGGTTCACATGCGTTTAATCCTTAGCAGATCATCGCGTTACTGAAATAGGCGGCTTTCAAAGTGTGCACTTCTATCAGTGGTAATGATGGATAGAGAACCAAAGATCGGTGTGTTTCCAACAAGTTTTCAGCGATTGTTTCAGCTGATATATTTTGTTGATAAGACTGCTACGCACCACCAAGTGAATCTACCGATGCATGTAAAAATGTAATTGAAAACTGTACAAGGAGGAAAGGGGGAATAGCCATATCAGTATACGACCAAATCTTGGGTCAAGGGTATTAAAACGTCCAAGTGGAGCATTGCTGTTTGAGTTCTTCCCAGGGTCTGAGCAGCCAAATAGCATTACTTACTCTTCACTCATCGTCAAGTATATTGATTCCCATGTCATTGTTAAGTGGGATTTCATATTTATGTTTCAGTGCCCCTTGTTCTCAGTGATTCGGAATGATATCGGTTTGTAGTGATACCAAACTTGAAATGAACTTTACTCTCGCAAATTAAACTACGCCTAATTTGTCAGTTTTACTGAATACTACTTCACTTATATGGAATATAGAAATTTCATTCTTCTAATAATGTTTCGTTGGAAAGAGAAAAATCCTCGTTAAAAATTCCCTGAAGAAACAAGCAGTCACTTTTTGTGTAAAATTCAGGCTACCTTAGCTAGTTAAACTTCTTTTTCTAGTGAAAAAAGTGGTTAATCAAAACGCTTTCTTGATCCCGGTAACGGTGATTTAACGTTTTAAATTTTTGAGTCAAATGAATCTTTAAAAACGCAAAGGTGTTTCATCAGTAACGGAAGTCTGAATCTGGAAATGCGCTTTTCATCAGTGATCAGCGGAGAAGAATTAAGACACTTAAGATAAATATTGTGGCAAATTATTATGCTGAGGTCACCAAATATTTCTCATTCTGTATATTTTAAGTTCACACTCAGTACAGATGCATACATATGATGGGACATTAGCCACACTTAGTTTTAGAACATGTATCACTTCCGTTTCATAATAGGCTGGGGAGAATGAGGTTGAGTTTAAACCCATATTGTAGAGTTAAATCCCCAAATTGGTAAGTCGCACTTTCGTGTTTGAACATGGTCATTTGGTGAGAAGCATATACCTGTAAAAATGTAGTAAAGATATGTTTTTGAATTTTCGTGACACTTGATTTTTTAGAGAAAGGTGTGTCCAGATTATTAAATATTTAAGTTACTAATGAGGTGAATGGTACTAAATTATGAATATGTACTAACAAAAATATGCAGACTGCACAAATTTCAGAGTCGCGAAATAATAAAAAGTAATATTAAAAGTGCTCCCAGTTTTTCCAATGGTTCTTTAACCGATGTCGGTTCATGATTAAATCCTGTGACCAATCAAATCCCTACAAACCAACACTTGAAAAGTACTTCTTTTACCTATTTGAGGTGTATAGAATAATGTTCTTATTAAGTGTTATTTTGTCCGATTATCTGAATTTATCAGTTCATTTATAAATGTCTCATTTACAGTAAGTTGCACCGTGAGTTATAGTCCATTAGATACTTTAACAGGGATTTAATTTCTACTTTTTGATAAATCAAGGTATAAATTACAACTGTAAACTTAATATGTCGATAGATTTTATTTTCGTAGTTAGTTTTAGACTTGTACAAATAAAACAATTAGCTTCCCTACATTTCGATTAATATGATACTTGAACACCTCTTAGGAGTTTATAGCCAATCTACAGGCGTCCAGATTGTCCGAGAAGATGTCGCCAACTACATAGAATGTCGTGATCAGTTGCAAGCAAATCCTGAAGATATTTTTCTGTCTACCGGGGCTAGTGAAGCTGTTAAAGTAAGTACAGGTAGTCAAAACTTGCTGTTTTTAAAATTTTGTCATGTCATAACATTGTTTACATGGCTAAGCGATTCATTTACATCCTATGAATCTGTCATCTCAATGTAGCACTGAGTGTAAAACCCCATTTTTTCAAAACTGCCTTTAAAAAGGAAGAATTTAGTGAAACATTTCTTCATTATATTTCTTGTTTAAAGATTCTTGATAATATAATTAAATATTCTGCTTAGTACGGTCACCTATTACAAATAAATCACAGTGGCTTTCTAATATCTCTGCGAGGCTAAGCTGTCTAATGAGTCACTAATTCTTGCTAAAATAATGAAATTCCAAAGTAGATGGTATTAAAATACCGCAATTATATGACGAACGAAATAGCTGAGACATACATATTTAGTGCATAACTTATCACCACAATTACAGTACAGATATACAAGTAACTAATACCAACAAGTTACGATTAATTGATCATCAGGATATGTGGAATGTTAATGCTTAGTGTCTAGATTTATTCCAAAGTACTACTCTGTAAATGAAGTGGCAAGGGTTAAAAGGTGAAATATTGATCAGCGATTTTTACTGTACTCACTTTTATTTACACCTATAATCAGTAGGTATTTCATCCTAAAATGTTGAAAGCCGTCTAACTGAATCAAGAAGTACAGTCTTATTTCATTTTTTTAGTCTATCTTACAGCTGATATCTACTTCGGAGGATGGCTGTAGACGTGCTGGTGTTATGGTTCCTATCCCTCAATATCCTCTTTATTCCGCAACAAACGCTGAATACAATGCTTATCAGGTAAGCCAGGTTGTGTACAATTTCATATCAAATATCAACTTGTTACACATCTTGTTGAAGGGATTTTAGCACGGTTATTTTTACTTTTCATTCTATTGTGAAGTATGTCGGTGTTTGATTTGCCCTGTTTAGTTATCTTGCCACAATCTAAGAGCTCCTAGTATATTTTAAAGACTGAAATGTTAAACAGTACATTTTAGAATGTCTAGTTCTCGATTATATTCTTGTGAGATGTATTCCATGAATATTCAACTGCTGAGCAATACCCATGACCCTAACCGGCTTTATTGACTTAATGATTGACCAGTTACCAAAGAACAGTCTCGTCGACTTAGAGTATGCAGATAAAATTGTCTACGCAGATGAATATGCTGACAAAATGCAGTGTCTTCTGAGTACCTTGAGCAGAAATCTCAGTATTTTTAGCATGCAATTTGTCCTTTTCAAATGCAAGACGATGGCGGAGAACTGCTCTACGGCGAATCCTAGTTTAAAGATAAGGTGGGAAGTGGCTGAGCGTGTTGACCAGTTCACTGATTTTAAAAGTTGCATCAGCCCTAGTCGACTTATTGCTGGTGAAATCTCAACATGGATAGAAAAGGTTTGTATAACATTTGCCAACTTACATAACTTCCGGCACTATACTATCTGGCTACTGATCAAAAGACATATGTAGTGTCCAACCGTTCGCTCAGGCCTTTATATGGCTGTAAAATGACTGCTGAAAGTGGGAAACTTGAAGAGGCTAACTGTCTTTGATTATATATGCTTACCTTGTATGTCTCGTGTTAAGTAGTATAATATGAGGAGTAATACTGAGGTTGGGCGTAGTGTTATTTTACGTTTAATAAGTCTGATATAAAAGATAACAGAAGGTCAATTCTTTTCCTGTTTGAACGGTTGCCTTAGTGTACTATGTGACTATGGCTGAATGCATTTATTTTGTAACTGGAGTTATTTATTTACTTTGATAATAACCAACATCCTATTCTGATTAGGGCTTATTAGTTCAGATACTGTTCGTTGAAATTGTGGTCTATATTTGTCTATCAAGTGAATCATCATTTCCCGACATAATTTACTGTATTCCTCTTTGCATTTTAAGATTGACAGTTTTCCAACAGTTTCATTGACTTTGTGATTGACTAAATGCATAACATAACATTAAAAAAACTAAATTTGTTTCCAATTGTACTCATATCCTTCAAATTATTTAGTTCAGATAAGACTTCTTGGTTGTGTTGTACATTACATTTGATTCGACGGATATTTCACATTCCTGGTGACTACAAAATGACACTAAACCGGTGAAACTACTTCAAACAATCAACTCTTTAGTATATGAAACTGAACAAAAACACTTTCAGAAATGCACTACTTCACTTTATACCGTTTGTAAACTTTAGACGTTTCAAAAATAAATAAATGAAATCTTCAACTTTATTATTGGGTATAGTGAGACAACACCCAAGCTCAGTAGGAAGTTGGCACGAATTTTTTGGTTAACTGTAATTTAGGCGAAGGCAACTTTTTATCAACTCCTTTCACTTGTGTAACACCAAAGTAATTTCTATCCGGTCTAGTTCCTTAAGTAAACAAACACTATTAAAGTGTATGCTGAATGAAATGTCATTTCAGGTAAACATTCTATTTACAGTTTTATGATTATAGTGCTGTGATGAATTAACTAATCAAATAAACGTTCAAATGAGAAATTCTCTATCATATATGTTAAATAGTAAAATTCAAAATTCAGATCAATTTTATTTTATTTCACTCATCGCGTATATGAAATTTATTCAGCGAAACAAAGCCATAACTTTCGAACTATACATTATTTCTAGTGCACATGATCCATATATATATATATATATATATATATATATATATATATCGACGATAAAGCATAATTAGATTTCAAATAAAATCTTCTGTTGATCTTCTTTAACAGTACTTAACAACAATGGAAACTATTTATATTCATCTATGCCTGTGTGTTGGCGGCCAACAAATTAAACAGTGTTTTTAGTTTGGGCTGACCAGAAACGGGATTCCATTCACTACATAACAGGACATTAAACAACTGAGGCGCACCCACTGCCTTCTTTGACAAGCAATGCTAGCTAATCGGGTTGGTGTAAACCATTTAGGGGTGGTTAGAACAAAACATGACATCAATCCATACAATCGTTGACGCAAGGTGTAAATTGTCTAGCTGGAGTCATCGGAAAGCAAAATAATTACAGACTTCTAATGGTATGGCTTAAGACGCCGTACAGTAATGCTGTTGATGTCTCTCAGATTCTGAGAATTTTCACAAATCTTCAGTTAGCGACTGTTCTTCTGATAAACATAGTTTTATCCATTGTAGCCTCTGTTTCTTCGTTTTGTATACTTCTTTAAAGTATGGTAAGTTTAAGTACTTTAATTCTGTGTGAAATTCCACGTTGATCAGTTATATTTATTCGAATTTGAATTCTACCTCGATCAACACAGTTTCATGCCAAACTGCGACAATACATGAACTTCATATTATCATATTACAGACTAGTAAATTTTTTAATGGTTATGCAAGACTTGACTTTTTTAGAATAAAACCGTTCTCTTACTTATGTTGAATTTTCATCGCAGATTGATTATAATCTTGATGAGTCAAACGAATGGGGTTTAAATGTTCAACAGTTAGAAGAAGCTCTGGAAAAGTGTAAAGATAAATGTGTTCCTCGAGCTTTGGTAGTAATCAATCCTGGCAATCCAACAGGACAGTTACTTCCAAAAGAAACAATAACGAGTGTTTTACAATTTGCTTACAAGCATAATTTGGTAGTACTGGCAGATGAAGTTTATCAACACAATATTTACGCACCAAATAGAGGATTTGTTTCATTTAAACGCGCTTTACACGATATTGGTGGACGAATTGCCAAAGAGTTACAACTAGCATCGTTTATGTCAAGCAGTAAAGGCTATATGGGAGAGTAAGTTTATTTTTTAATACTACCAGTGTAATGGCTCCACGTTGTCTCAGTGGACCATGACAACTGGCATTCTCTAAACAAAGTGATATAAAATAGCAAAGTTTCAAATATAGTGTTAAATATCTGTTGAGAGAATTCAAAGGATGTATATTTTGTGTTAGTGGTAAGTTTAATTGACATTAATCCGAACATGCACCAAGAGACATAAGTGATATATTAACACCTTCTATTTGTTAATTTTCGTTATTTCTAAAAGTCAACTGTTAGTTACTCCGGATTTGAATGGAAGCTTGTAGCTTCATTCTATGTTAAATGAATGAACTTAAATACATACATGTGATACAAAACACTATGTAATACTATTAATTTCACTAATGTAAACTATTCACTAAACTAAAATAATAAATCAAAGGTTAAAATGATGCAGGCATGTGACTAAAGTGTGTTTCAATTAACCTCTTCCCTATACCGAATCAGGTGAACAATTAAGCTGTATGGACATATATATATGTATATATATATATATATATATATATATATATATATATATATATATATATATATATATATAATCATAACAGATTTATGCATTGAAGAACATTTGACTTGAACTTGATTATTTGTTGTTTCTTATAATATACGGAGTTTAGTGGTAAATTAGTTCAGCAGGAAACTGTGGAACTAAGTTTTTCACCTGTTTCGATAATCAGCAGAATCATGTAACTGTATTCTTGCTGAAAATATGAAATTATACTTAAGTCAGAAATCTATGCGTTTTAAAGGTTGTCTGAATCATTGGAGATGTGGGCTGATTGTGTAATATTGACGGCACTGTGATGAGGAGTTAACCGAATATCTCTGATCTCGGTATCAGTTTCTCTTTGAATCTCTGTTGGTGGTTTGACATCCTGTTGATTTCTAAGAAAAAGTTTCGTTTAACTTATTACATAAAGAAGTTGAGACTCAGCCTCTTCGCTTACAATTTTGTTAATTCATTTATTCTGCCCATTCTCCTTTACTGTTCGTCACTATTCTTCCCTGAACTTCTCAAAAATGACTTTGTCATATTACGTAGAACACTGAAGACTGTAAGTAGGGTTAGTGGTGTGCCACTGACTCACCTAACTGACATTAATGTCAGTAGGCACTTCTATTCTCGCAAGCAGTTGGCTAAAGTTATCTTGTCTGATACTGAACATCCTCTTTACTCTCAAATTTCTCGTTGTATCTCTTCGGATAAAACCAGAAGAAACTTCATAGGAATTTACGCTCGTACAACTAAATATAAAAATTCTACCATACCACTATATTTAGCACGGGTTTTGTGCGAAGAAATAGTCAAATGTCAGAAAAGAATTCATAAACTTTTCAAAACAGTAATCTGAACTACAAAGTATAAGCAGAGGTTATTATTACATGTATTATCTATGATACTACCTACTTATACTTCATTATGTTTCCACCAACATTCTGTTTATAGTGGTCTCATTATTAATATTATTATTACTATTTTAAATTTTAAGTATGAACATATTTATAAAAGGAGCTGAATTGTTGTAACATGTATAAAAACGCTAAAAATTCCATTCTGTATAATTATCAGTGCTTGGAACAAAGTGATTATTATTACTATTGATTGGATGCACAGTAATGTCATGTAAATAAAAGGCCAGAATTGTCTGTTCATTTTATACTTTGGAGTGTATAGTAGACGAAACGGATTGAGTGTAATGTAGCACTACTGGTTAAAACATAACAACAAAGATTGTGGAAAAATTATTTGCAATTTAAATGCACTCTGATTTGAGAACCTAAAGTAGGTAATATAATATACACTGAAATGCTTGAGATTCACTGCAAGCAGTTGTATGGACACTTGTGAAGTAAAAGGATTGGTCATTTTGATTGAGCATAGTCAACACAAATATGAAATGGTACGTATATTATCAATCTTCCCCACCTTTTTTATGTTTTCATACGGAGTAATGAAAATATTGTACGGAGAAGTGTTACAAATAAGCAGTTTACGTAGCAGAGTATATTTATGATTAATTCTCAACTCATAGAAGCTAATCACTGATAAATAAAGTCAAAGTAAAATAAATTTAGTTATTATGTTATTATTTGTCTGTACATGCTAATTGTATTTATCAATTAGATGTGGTCTTCGTGGTGGATATTGTGAACTGGTGAATTTCCCAGCAGATGTTCAACAACAATTGTATAAATGTCTTTCAGCTCGACTGTGTTCTTCGCTTTTGGGTCAGGTAAATAATTTGTATTTTATCATATATGTATAAAGTCTTATTGGATTAATACTATCGAAGGCTTAGATAACCGATCATATGACAACAGAAATTCACTGTATTAAAATCAATGTCATGAAACATCTTAAAGGTTCATTCTTCTGACTAATGAATAAGAATCATCACCTTGACTCACATCTGCAAATAAGGTCATTAATGCTATAGTCGAATCATAAAGTGAATTAAAAATAAGCTAATGATATATGTATTTTTTGTCGGAATGGTCTTTATTTAAGAGATAAACATGTCTCTTTCAGTAACTACTTAGTGTCCCAAAAAAATTGTGCCACTGCAGTCACAAATTAGTATTAACATCAAGTGAAACATATGCGTGTACAGATCACTTGGTTGTAATATGATAAATAGTAAAGATGCAACTTTATTTAAACTTATATATCGAAAGTCGTGTGTTTTATAAACGGATAGATGTTGTACGCTGTTGATTTCAGTATCATAGGGAATTAGTGAAAGTAACCACCTAGTACACTCTAGCTTCTATATCAATACCTCTTTTTGGCTGAAGTGAACTGAATACTTGGTCGAGAGCTAAGTTTTTCTAAGCCAATCTTCAAAGCTCTAGAGGTGCAGTGTGAAATCTGATAGTTTGAACTCTGTACTTCTGAGACCCGACTATCTCATGAAGTGACGGGAGGGGGAATTTATTCTACTAAAGTACATAATCCATGAGAATTATTCCAAAAATTGGTTTCTGCATTATTACGTATTTCTCAATAGTATATCAGTAGCACAGATTTCAATTCCAGGTGAAGTTTAGAAAATCAGGTGAAATCAAGTCATTATTAGCATTAAAAATTCAGCCATGTTTGTTGCTTTCAGAATAATGCCTATTATTGGGTTATCTTAAAAGCATACAGCTGACTGTCATTCGTGGTTATCTTTTGTCTTACTCGTTTCACTTTTGTCCTTGAATTTGTCTTATGCATTTATTCACAAGTCATGAAATCCACACCGGAATCTCTCGTGTATGAATAATATCTTAGTAATTCACGGCAGCTACAGATTTTCTGCTGAATTCCAAGTTGTTATGAAATGAATACACAAACAAGACAGTCAGTGAAGACCAGAGACCAAACCAGTCGTTTTGACTTTCAGCTGTATGCACCAGTGGCAACATGGTGCATTTGACGCAGGACTGTCAGATTCCGAGACAACCACATTACCATTCAGTCATTGGGTTGGATATCAATGCCCCATAAATCCTAACTTCTATTGATTTACAACGTAGCATCATTCATTCTCATACGTAATTTGGTATGCCATACCGGTCATGACTTCTCATTAGAACCTCAGGAAATTCACCTCAAAGCTCGTCACTGATGAGTAGTAGACTGACCGTCATTACTTGGTGATGGCGTTATATCGCGTAATGATAGATGTTAGAACTCGTCGAGCATTGGTTTCCAAACTATTGATTAAACGGTCACCTGCTCACCTCGTAGTCTGACTAACCACGTTCATGATGACGTGGATATGTACAAACGGAATGTTATAACTGTTTGATCCTCCCTGCCTTCACTAATTCTTTTTTGGTTCATGACAGTGTATCTTTAAACAAGTCAAGGAACTCAAAAGTCCAAATATTTCATTGCATAATTAGCGGAATGTACTAGGTGGTGATATACTGGTTTGTGGGTTTTTTTAATTCTTAACTGGATTCAATAAATGTATTCACATGCTTTGCAGAAAATTTTGGTACAGACCACAGGAACAACAGAATATACATCTTTTCAACAGTTAATCATTATATTTTATATTTACATATATTCTTCTCTACAAAGATATCCGAAACACTTTACAACTTGTGTACTTGAACTACTTGAATTTCGAACTATAACTGTAATCATTGTTTAAAAAAACCAATCAAATGTTTATATAATCTTGGCATTCAATCACTACGTGTTTATGGTGGATTCACGTATTTGTTGGGACTAAAAAATCCTCTCATTTAGCAATCAGGTGATGAAAGTCTATAAACTATGAAATTCGGAACACTGTGAACTTAAAAATGGTTGTACAAATTACAGTAAAATTCAGGTATATTTATATGTAGTAAGTTTGACAAATGGTCAAACTAAATTAAATTAGTTATTTGCAAATTAAACAAACCGGGGCATAAATATGATCTAAATAACTAACAATACTGTTTGATATAAGTGATTTTTAACTGCTGATGTCGAAGAGGAGTATATATCACCTTGTTGATCTGAATATTTTAGAGTCGCGCAGGAAAACACGGATTTTCACTATGAATTGTGTAATTTGCAAGTGACGAATTTTCTTCGTCTTGATAACTAGTGAGAATTCGGGTGGTATGAACTGATTATCTAGGCTGAGGCCAACTGAGAATACTATCCAATGTTTAGATCGTCCCTGTCTGGCGACTAGCAGCTTCCAACTGTTCATATCAATCAGTAGTAATATAGCATCTTGCTAAACAATGAAGTCATTTTAATTGTATGTATGTGCACAATATTGATTGTGACCGTTGGTATAAGAACAGAACTTGTGCACTGTGGTAGAGTATAATTCCATTATGAGTAAAATTTATTTTGATAAAGTCTCACAGTGTTATACAGCAATATTTACTGATGACATTTTGAGCACAATTTATTGCTCATAATCATATCATGGTACTCACACAAGTTTCTAACTTCGTTTATATAATTCCATTATTTTTCCTCGCTTGATTTGATTGGTAGTAGTATTTTCGATATTTCCGGTAGGAGTGATGAGTCATTCCTATTGCATGAGTTGGGTGTAGACTCGATGAACAAGGATTCAGTAATTAACCTCTATGTCCACCTACCTATACTACTTTTTAGAATTTTAACTCTCTTCCATCCTATTGTGTGGTTGTGTGTTAATGCATGCAGTGCAATTGCTGAGTATTTTTTCTAAATCGCTTATCTTCGCGGGGTCAATCATTCTAAGATGATAAGTAATTTAGAAAAAATACTCAGCAATTGCACTGCATGCATTAACACACAACCACACAACAGGATGGAAGAGAGTTAAAATTCTAAAAAGTAGTATAGGTAGGTGGACATAGAGGTTAATTACTGAATCCTTGTTCATCGAGTCTACACCCAACTCATGCAATAGGAATGACTCATCACTCATACCGGAAATATCGAAAATACTACTACCAATCAAATCAAGCGAGGAAAAATAATGGAATTATATAAACGAAGTTAGAAACTTGTGTGAGTACCATGATATGATTATGAGCAATAAATTGTGCTCAAAATGTCATCAGTAAATATTGCTGTATAACACTGTGAGACTTTATCAAAATAAATTTTATCCACCGTAGAAATGATTATAACCATTGGTTGGAAAAGTTACAAGAGTAGAAAATTCTAGATACAATGCGATTCCATATTAGTTTGTTTATTCGATGTATCACACAGTGAAACAGTATTATTTACTGGATGACGTTTCGAACAAAGTTTATTGTTCGTAATCATATCAATTAAAATCACACGACTTTGAAACTTGAGTTTTATAGTTATCTTTGTCCTTTCCTATTTGTCGTAGGGGTAGTATTATTTTCCAGATATCTGGGACAGGTGTTGAATCATTCCTATTACACATGTTTTCAGTTTATTCGATAAACAAAGCTTCTGTTATCAATCTCTCCCTCCACCCTGTGACATAAGATTTTAAAATTGTCATCCTATTCCATCCTAGATGCAATGTACTAAGAAGGTAAAACTGCATTTTCGTGCACTGTGAATAATAAATGAACTGATTCTATGCTTTCAATTTTGCGCGAAATGGTCGCGCTATGTCGTGAATTGGCAGAAGTTAGAATTCAAGGACCATTGGATCGGGTCCCAGTGGCTCAATGGTCTACGAGCTCGCCTTGTAACCAGAAGGCCCTGGGTTCGAATCCCGGTGGGCGCGTACTGCTGAAGAGTCCCAAACTAGGACGAAACAGCTGTCCAGTACTCCCAGGTTTTCCAGTGGTTCTCTAACTGATGTCAGCTCAAGATGAAATCCTCCATACAATTAAACAAAATCCCTACCAAACCAATACTTGAAAATTCGAATAATTGCTTACAGTGTAGTAAGTAGGATTGTTAGCAAGGGTGTTATACAAACACTGAAAGATGTGTTTTGGAGTGTTCCGTCCTCGTGTAACTGAAATACTGCCCATCTTTACAGTACGGCATCGCTGAGCTGTGTGGCCTACAGAACAATCGGCATCACCAGAGGTAGCTAGCTAGAGACTTCGCACAATACCTATGGTGACATTTTTCAATAGGTGGAATTCTTGATATTTGCCATGCAATAAACAGTGTAGGTTTTAGTTCAGCCAAACTAGTAAAATGCTTGATGAAAATAATTAGAGATTAGTTTGAAATATAAACTAATAGTTTCTTAACTGAGATGTGATTATATAAATAAAAGAATACTGCATATATGGTTGTTTGGTGTTTTGTGTCTGTGACCTTTGACAGTAGGAAGAGATTTGCACAAATGAGTCACAAAAAGTCATGTGAATACAATAGGTGAAACTGGATAATTTTAGTGCATATTTAAGGAAAAGCTAATATTGATTGACACCATAGGATTAACACTATTATCATTGCATTATGCATTACATAACAAAAATCGGAAGTGTAATAAGGAAGTAGCACGATAAATTAACGAAGAAGGCAGAGGAGAATTAGGTTAACTGTGTCTAAATGACAACTTGATATGAATAAGCTGAATCTAGCATTTCCAGGGTAAGCAGATTAATTTGTGTGAATCACGTGAACTGGGGAAATCACTAACTATGATTCACTCTTTCACGCACAGTTTATTTATGCCTTACACTGAGTTCTGAATAAAACACAACTGTCTACTTATAAGTGTGAAGCCTTACGAAAATAAGAAATTGAAAATAGGCACTCACTTGTGTGTATCTAATAATGATGTTACGCTTATCTATGTTTTACAAAATAATGAACCGAACCAAAGTTAGTTAGGACTCAGTTATGTGGGACGGTCAGATAAAATATAAAGAGTATCAATGCATTGGGACATTTTACATCCCTATAGGATATTCTTATCTTTTTAGCCGCATTCTTACTGTCAACATTTTCTAAATAAGTTATTATTTTCAACAGTACTGTTTGTCTGAAGTATGTTGTTTGAATAACCTAAGACAGTTCCTGACGTTTTTAAAGAACTTCACTGAAATATGCACTTTCATTATTGTGGAGATTTAAAACAAATGCTGCAAGGCTTGTCTTCCTTAACACCACCAAGCGTGGTCATCAAAAAAACTGGAAAAGACTGGTGGCCAATCTTCGAGATTTCCAACTGCATATATGAGTTTGAGTGTACTTGTGAAAGTGAATACATAGGTCGTACAGAAAGGTGATTGTCTACTAACATGGTGGGGCGTTTTCGCAAGTGGTGAAAAAAGTCGACGTCAAAGTATCAAAATCGACATGATACTGATGCTGTCATGTCATTCACTGTTGCCAGAGAGGTGCTTGCATTTGCGGCGGCTTGTGCAATTACAGTTTATAAGCTCCGGTCCCTGTATAGAGATGGAAATGGTGGTCGCTTTGATTCTACCATGGTAATATCTTTTACTTATTAACCGTTATTATTATTAATACTTTATTCTATCTTTTATCATTATTCTTGACTCATTTAAAACTATCTTTTGTCAGTACCATTATCTTAACTCGTTATTATTATTCAGTTTGCAATTCTTGACATTTTCAATTTCTCTGTCTGATAACTAATTGTTTATATAAGTAATGTAATCGAATCGTGATCCATTATTATCTTTGGTCACTTATACCCCTTCCTTCTTATCTATCGCAGCCTGACCTGTAATACATTCGCATCTGTCTTTTTGCACGATTGATCCATTGTAGTTTATTTACTTATCAGCTATACATCTCTATATGTATTTCTAATAGTATACATATCACAGTATGTGGAGTATTCAAATGATGAGTTCTACCTAAATTTAATGAATTCATTAAATTCTGCTTTATTAACATTTGTTCCTTGTTTTAAATTCTTATCATGAAATAAATGTCTCAAATTGTGCAGAGTCATATCTGAGAAATTGTACTACATAAGCTCACATCTTCTGTATGTTATCAACTTCTAAATAAGTTAATTTGGTTTCAGACACAATTTCCGTTGAACCAACCTTTTTTTAAAATCCCTTTCCATTAGTTATCATTTTTAGTTTTGAGATTTTTCCCATCTGAAAAGCTTAGACTGAAATTGTGTTTCAAGGGCGTTGTATTAAGTGAGATTCATCTGTATCTATGCTACTGAAAATACTATTTCCTACATCATGTAACCTATCCTGCAGATGACAAGAAGTTAAATCTTGGACGCAAGAAGTTGTCTGTCTTGTACTTGTAGGACTTCTCCAAATTCCACTATGATATTTCTTTGTAAACTCATCAAAACAAAACTGGACTTCCTAATCACGTTGAGATATATAATTAGACTGCAATTAACCGACATGTTAGACTATTCAAATACAGTAGAACAAATGTGTCCAAATACTAGTTCGCTCATAATCCTGTCTTTTGAATGACTTAGAAAACATGTTGTTCAAAGTTAGTCTATTGCTGTGACTGAATGTCAGCCATGTATTTCAATTGATCTAGAGACTTACTGAATCACAGCAGTGGATAAATAGGCTTATCCACGTTCAATCCTGTGACCTCACATTTCTATATAGATGGTGTTAGACCGTATAATCTCTTGATTCTTTGTATCAAGTTTCCATTACTACTAAGGTATATTTATATATACATATATATAATTATTGGTGGGATACGTGTTTGTGCCTTACAGCCTAACCGCACTCCAATACTCCGTCTTCATTTGTGACTTATTTAATTTATTACTGTCGTACATTGGTGAATCATAGTGCCAAGTGTGATGGGAAATACGAAGACACAACTAGACTTACGTGCACCTTATAACTATTAGATGTTAATTCACTAAACAATCTAATTTAGTATTAAAAGGTGGTAAGAACTTTTGTTTTCTCTTACTCCATCGAAATACTTTACAAAATTATTCTCTTTCTTCCTCTGTCTTTCAAAACTCTTAGCTGACTATGGATGTTGTTGTGAATCCACCAAAACCAGATGAACCATCCTACAGTTCATTCATGAAAGAAAAATCTGCAGTACTTGAAGAATTGAAACAAAAAGCTGACCTTACTACAAAAGCATTAAACTCACTACCAGGTTTCTCATGTAATCCAATAACTGGAGCCATGTATGCTTTCCCAAGAATCGATTTGCCCAAAAAGGCTATTGAAACTGCTAAGGTAGTTTCTTTTTTGGTGCTTTATTGTATTATTTAATTCCTCATGACTATAATTAAGCGTTTGCAAGCTACAGAGTAAATTTTCTTCTGCATTCCTTGCATTTCAAATAATTCATCATACTTCAAGCCTTGAAGTAGCGGCGATTTCGTTTTTTGCCGTGTGGAGTTGCTAGCATCACTCCCAGTCTTTACCACTAGATGACATTAAGGAGTGAGCTGGACTTGAGTCGAACCCAGATTTTTCGCTTGGTTGCCTAAATAAAATTTACAAACGTTCGTGCTTATTCGAAAAATAATTATGAGAAACAACATAATACATAGAACTAGAGATATATGTGTAAAACTTGGGCACAAACTAATATGGAATAAAACTAGAGAGACAGTTGCAACTGTTTGTTCAAGTGTTTAGCATAAGGTTGTGGTGAGAGCTGTCTACTAGCCAAATTGGTAGACAGTAATTTACGTCAATGTTTACGTTCTCAGGATTTGTCCTGAGAAAATATGAACAAAGACTGATTCAAAACCGACCACAGCAGACTTTGCGTAGGCGGATACAGTTAACATATAGATGATCTGACATTCAAGAAACAGTCACAAATAGATAAAAGATTAACTTTACGTGAGAAACAACCAATCAGAAGACTGTGTTTGTTTGCTTAACTAATCTATAATAATGTACATGAAAATATATAAATATGCTTTGATTTCCTTAATAAACGATCTGTTGCCTGACCCTTATCTTCTGTTGTTACAAGATGACGTTGCATACTACTGATTGATTGAGACGAGTAATTGTATAACACTCACACCAACCAGTAGTGCTTGCTACCCAGATCACAACGATCCAAACACCGGACAGTCGTCTTGTTCGTTTGGGGCAGAGCTCATCAGGTGTGCTGCCGTTTTTTGCTACGGGTTGATGTGAATGTTATCCGACTACTCATATCAGTTAATCACTAGGATATGGCACCATGCAGTTATTTTCGCTTCCCTCACTGACATTCATGGTATCAAGCAGACCACATATTGTAATCTGAATAATTTTGGTTTCCAACAAAAACCACGGTGAAACTTCACGCCGAACTGTGTTAAAGGCAATTTGATTATTAAGTCAAATAGTAACTGGGAATGCTCGAAAGTAAATTATAGTAAAGGTCAGATTACAACTGAACTTAATATCAAAGATGCAAACATAAAACACTTTCTTAGGCTCCTAATCGAGATAAATAACTCCACTATACACATACTTTTAATCTCGATGCTACTAAAGAAAACGAATTTGAGTTATAGTGTATTTTGCCTATACTACTTTTGCTTGATTCTTATACTTAAACCGGATGTCACAATTCATTACCGAATAAACCTTGCTATCCGTAGAAATATTCTTTGTTTTTGTGAAAAAATATAATCACGTGCCAGCTTTAAAATTCATTTATCCCTACGTACATAACTGTCCTCTTTTGCCAGCGAACTGATCAATAATACAGTGATTTATTTTAAAATTAAAATAGTCGAATCCCATGTAAGTATTAAGAAAATAAGGTCAAATGTTGATTGGTTTACGAAACAAAGCGGATATTTCATCC